GGCTGGGAATGGGCACCAGGGGCTGGGAATGGGCACCGCGGGGTCTGGGAATGGGCATGAGCATTGAGGTCTGGGAATGGGCACTGGGGTCTGGGGATGGGCATGGGTACCAGGGGCTGGGAATGGGCACTGGAGTCTGGGAATGGGGACGGGCACCAGGGGCTGGGAATGAGCACTGGGGGCTGGGAATGGGCACGGGCACCGGGGGCTGGGAATGGGCACCAGGGGCTGGGAATGGGCACCAGGGTCTGGGAATGGGCACGGGCACTGGGGGCTGGGAATGGGCACTGGGGTCTGGGAATGGGAATGGGCCCCCGGGATCTGGCAGTGGGGACAGGCATGGGGACGCACGCAGTGACAGGCAGGGTTGGTGGCACACGGGGACGGACGCAGTGCCGGGGGTGTTGGTGGCACGTGGGGACGCGGGCGACGGTGCCACCGTGTCCCCCGCGCCGGCAGGCGCTGTGCGGCCGCTGCTACCGCGGGCGCCTCGCCTCCGTGCACACGTTCGCCCTGAACCGGCGGCTGCAGCTCTGCGCCCGCGCCCACACCGCCAGCGGGCAGGTCTGGATCGGCGGCGTCACCCGGCCCCTGGTGAGCGCCCCGCGCCAGCCGCCCGCCCCACGGCCGCCCGGGGGGCTGAGCCCGCCCCACGGCCGCCATGGGCTGCCCCAGCTCTGCCCAACGTCCCCACGTCCATCCGGGGGTGTCCCAACCCTGCCCAACATCTCAGTGTCCATCCTGGGGTGCCCCGAACCTAACCGATGTCCCCGTGTCCACCTTGGGGTGCCCCAACCCTGCCCAATGTCCCCATGTCCACCTAAGGAGTCCCAACCCAATGTCCCCGTGTCCACCCTGGGTGCCTCAACCCAACCCAATATCCCCATGTCCACCTTAGGAGTCCCAACCCAATGTCCCCATGTCCACCTTAGGAGTCCCAACCCGACCCAATGTCCCCATGTCCACTTTGGGGTGACCCAACCCTGCCCAATGTCCCCATGTCCACCTAAGGAGTCCCAACCCAATGTCCCCGTGTCCACCCTGGGTGCCTCAACCCACCCCAATGTCCCCATGTCCACCTTAGGAGTCCCAACCCGACCCAATGTCCCCATGTCCACTTTGGGGTGCCCCAACCCAACCCAATGTCCCCACGTCCATCCGGGGGTGTCCCAACCCTGCCCAACATCTCAGTGTCCATCCTGGGGTGCCCCGAACCTAACCGATGTCCCCATGTCCACTTTGGGGTGCCCCAACCCGACCCAATGTCCCCATGTCCACCTTAGGAGTCCCAACCCAACCCAATGTCCCCACGTCCACTTTGGGGTGACCCAACCCAACCCAATGTCCCCATGTCCACCTTGGGGTGCCCCAACCCAATGTCCCCATGTCCACTTTGGGGTGTCCCAACCCAACCCAATGTCCCCATGTCCACCTTGGGGTGCCCCAACCCTGCCCAATGTCCCCACATCCACCTTAGGAGCCCCAACCCAACCCACGTCCAATGTCCCCACGTCCACCCCGGGGTGTTCCAGCCCTGTGCAATGTCGCCATGCCCCCCTGGGGTGTCCCAACCCTACCCAACGTCCCCGTTGCACCCCTGGGTGCTCCAGCCCCTCTCGACACCCCGCGCCCATGCTGGGGTGCCCAGCACTGCCCCGCTGCCCCACGCCCGCCATGGGGCGCCCCGGCCGCACGGCTGCCCCACGCCGGTGGCGCCGGCTGACGCCGTGGGGCGCAGGGCAGGAACGTGTACTGCCAGTGGGTGGACCACACGCTGTGGAACTACGCGCACTGGGTGCTGGGCTACCCGCTGCTCACGGGCACCCTCTGCACCTCTCTGTGCACCGCCGGTCAGTGCGGAGCGGGAGCGGGAATGGGAGCAGGGATGGACAGCGCTGGGGACAGCCGGGGACCCCGTGCCTGGCATGGGGGCTGAAACAGGGGGGTCTGGGGGCTGCAACCAGGGGGGTTTGGGGTCTGAAAGTTGGGGGGCTGCAATTTGGGGGCAGGGTGCCGCGATTTGGGGCGCTTGGGGCTGCATGGTGCGGATGTGGGGGGCCCGTGGGGCGCTGCCGGGGGCCGTGGGGCGGCGCGGCCGCACTGACCCCCTTCCCGCCGGCAGACGGGCGCTGGAGGAGCCTGCACTGCGGCACCAAGCTGCCCTTCATCTGCGAGTACTGAGCGCCCGGCCCCACGGCGCCGGGGGGCAGCGCCGCCCCGTGCCCCACGGCGCCGGGGGGCAGCGCCGCCCCACATCCCCAATAAAGTGCCTGTGTTCAGCACCCGTGTGGCACCCGCGTCCCACCCGCTGCGCCCCCCAGCCCCACGGCCGACCCCCGGGCACCCCCCGTGTCCCGCCTGTGCGCAGCGCCTGTCACCCCCGTGTCACCCGCACCAACCTACACCGCACTGCACCCGTCACCCCCGCGTCACCCGCGCTGACACCCCCGCCGCCTGTCGCTGTGGGTGCCTCTCCCTTCGGAGGTCCTCCGCTGTGGGGGGTGCACATTTTGGGGGTGCACCGCGAGGGGGTGACGCGTTTTGGGGGTGCTCTGGTGGGGGGGGTGCACGTTTTGGGGGTGTCTCCACTCGGAGGTCCTCCATTTTGGGGGTGCTCCGTTTCAGGGGTGCTTCTGGCGCCGTTTTGGGGTGCCCGATTTTGGGGAGCCCCGTTTTGGGGGTGTCCGTTTTGGGGGGGGAGCCCCGTTTTGGGGGTGCCCGTTTTGGGGAGCCCCGTTCTGGGGGTGCCCGTTTTGGGGGGGGGAGCCCCGTTTTGGGGGTGCCCCCGGGGGGGGGCAGCCCCGTTCCGGGGGCGGCGCCCCCGCCCACGTCACCGTCACCCCACGGCCGCCGCGGTGACGTCACGGGGCTCCCCCCACCGCCGGCCAATGAGGGCGGCGCGCCCGCCCCTTCCCCCCCCCCGCCGGGGAGCCGCAGTCCTCCCGCTCTCTATGGTAGCAGGTGAGAGCGCGTCGCAGGCGGGGGCTGGGGCCGCGCCTGCGCTAGCCCCACATCTCTATGGTTCAGGGGGGTGGGGGGGGGAGGCGCGGGGCCTCTCTAGCCGTCAGTCCTCCCGCTCTCTATGGTGCCGCCCGCCCGCGGAGCGGCCGCGCGCG